CGAACATTGTTAGATCAGTGCGGATGGACGATAAACATTCTCAACAAAACAGCGGGGCCGCCGCATAAAGGCCGGTGAACGGTGGACGCGAACGGTTTGAAAGACAGCTTTCGACGGTCAGCTTGAAATTTATTTGCAAAATAAGATCGCGGTATTCACGGCTGGGCAGACAGTCTGCGATTCCAACGGGCACTTAACGGGCACACAACGTTCTGTAAACCAGCCGTGAAAGCATTTGCACGCTCGAATTCTTGGACGATCGCGTAAATATTTAGAACGGTCTAAAATCAATCCTCCAATATTGAGCCTGCCTATTTATTTGACGGTATCGAAGGAGGAGGCTTTCCATCTGTCACGCTCGTCGCCACGAAATGAATTTTCTTTCAAGTACGATTGAAGAATAAAATAAAAACGTCGATAGTATAAATATTTCGATCGATACGGAAATTAGAAATCGTTAATGCACAGAAATAAATTTTAAATCAAGAAGATTTAATAAAATCTGAGTCGATGAAAAGCGGATAGTCACCTGTTTTTTTTTTCTTTTTTTTTCCTCTTTCGGTTCTCGTCACCGAGAAAAATGGGGACGCGTAACGTCGGTTAGCATCGCGACGGGATAATTTTAGCGGGAACGATTTTTGCGCCTCGGTGGGACGGAACTTGTGTTCTCTCGCGTCACGGAACGTCGCGGACGGACACGCGATTTTAGCCCACGCGCATTCATAACGTCGCGCGATTGTCACCTTGCCAAACGCACGCGGCCACGTCGCGTCGTCGCGACAACGACTGTACGCGTTCTTTTTCATTCGTTTAACGGCCCCCCGTCGGTGGACCGCAGGAACCGTTCCGCGCGCGTATCGACACGTTCGACGGAACGGGGGGGGAAAAAAAAAGCGACGAAAATCGTCGAACACTCTCGCGCGTTATATTTAGCCGCGTCCTCGTCGCTTAAAGCTTCTGTGACACAGTTTTCTTCGAATCGCAGCTGGCCGTTCTCGACGGAATCACTATTGATATCGTTTCGATTTCCGAGAAGTCCGCGTGTCTTTAATTCCCGAGATTCTGTCGTCTATTAAAAGACAGAACTGCTACTCCGTCGACAGCATTTCTAAACAGCAGTTCTCGAGATTCTCATCAACCGCGAGATTAAAACACCATAACTTCTCTTAGCGAAATCTTTGAAATGAACGTTAACGAAAATCACCCAACGCGTGTTCGATACGATTTTAATCGCGAGAGGGGGAGAAGGGAATTTGTAGCACCGTTTGTTCATCTTGCGTCGAAGCTGGATTTGAAACGATGCGACGGACGTGAAAAGAATTTCAGACTTACCTAAAATTACTATTACGGCTCGTTACCGGACGGAAGTTTGATTAAGCGTGCTTGGCCAGCGCGAACTTCGCGACATGCACTCTAATTCCGAGCGCCGCTCCTCCGCGCGAGTGCCTTTTCACTGCGCACACGCGTGAATCCCTCCCTTCCGAGCCCACTTCGGATTTGTAACGCCGTGGCATGGACGGTCGTTCTTCACACTCGAACTTGACTTATCGTCAGACGATTCTACGATCGTACTTCCATCAGGGGAGAACTTCATAATCGCTGCCACGCTGGTTGGAGGACGTAGGACGCACCAGCAACGTTTTATGGACGAAATTTCTCACGTTTAGTGGCGGAAAGTTTACGAGAAACCCGCGATGAAAATAAGTAGTACAAAATGGATCTTCCGGTGAACGTGGATTTATTTCGCTGTGAGAAAGCATGAAAAGTTTTCTTATAAATAAAACCTGTATTTATAAGAAAACTTTGAGGAGTTTAGGTACTGGAATGAATATGATAAAATCGTTTTGAAAATTATTTTAATCTACTAGTAGAAGCATGAA